CAATTTAATGATTGATCGGTACAGGTCAGAATTTTTTAACCTGCTGAAGTGAAACCTCCCCCGTACAGCCGAACTTCTGACCGTTGTGGCAAATTGCTGAAACCTCTCGTGAATTCGCATCACATCCCCTTATAGAAATTGGGTGGATTGAGGTGAATGAGGGTTAGGGTGCATCCCAATCCATTATTCAAGCGGGATATAGATTACTCTTTTTCCAAGGTATTTTCAATTTTAGTTAATTTAAAACCACATGCATGTTTCAAGTTGAACAAGAAAACACCTCATTAATGTTTTGGGGGGCCAAGAAAACACCTTATTAGATTTCTGATAATTAGTTACTTATTTATGATTTAAACATCCCCCTTGCACATGCCCATATCCCCTAGTTTGTCCATATATATATATATATATATATTAAGCTGAAACGTGTATGTAAGAAGGCCTCATACGAGGGAAATGGAATCTATCAGTATTTTTTGCCTTAATTTCATAAAAATTATAAGAATGCTATTCTCTACCAATTCTCTCTTTTGTTTTTTTCCTTTCAAATTATAAAAATGCCATTCTCTCCTACCAACTCTCTCTCTCTTGCTTTTTTTTTCCTTTCAAATTACAAGAATGCTACTCTCTCCTATCAATTCTCTCTCTCCCTCTTACAAATTACAAAATGCCATCTCTCCTAATAAATTACAAGAATGCTATTCTCTCTCCAACTAAGGGAGACCTCATCTTGGCATCCCGACTGCTAGGGGACTTGCAATCAAAGGTAATCGAGTTCGAGCCGAGTCGAGCTCGAACTTCTGACCTCAAGCTCAAGTCTCCAATTCGAATTGAGCTCGAACAAGACGACACCTCAACCACTGAGGGAGACCTCGACTCGGCACCTCGATCACTGAGGGAGATCTCGGCTTAGCACCTCGGCAACTCAGGGAGACCTCAGCTCGGTAACTTGTCCACTAAGGGAGACCTTAGCTCGACACCTCGCCTTCTAGGGAAACCTCAGCTTGACACTTCAGTACTTGAGGAAGACCTTGATTTGGCACCTCGACAATTGAGGGAGACCTCAACTCGACACCTCGGCTGTTTGAGAGACTTGCAATCAAAGGTAGCCAAGCTAGAACTTTCGAGCTTTTGACTTGAGCCGAGTTTGATCTTGAGCTCAAGTCTCTAATTCAAATCGAGCTCGAGCCTGATTGTTTATGAGCGAGCCCCTACAACGCAGGGTCACCTCCGCTAGTAAATATATTAAGCTAAAATGTGTACGTAAGAAGGCCTGAGGATGAGGGAAATGGAACATAACAATATTTTTTGCCTTTTTTATAGAAATTATAAGAATGCCACTCTCTACCAACTCTGTCTCTTTTCCTTTTTTTTTCTTTCAAATTACAAGAGTGTCATCTATCTCTCTCCTTATAAATTACAAGAATGCCACTCTCTCTCCAACTAAGGGAGACCTTAGCTCGGCATCTCGGCTACTAGGGGATCTGCAATCAAAGGTAGTCGAGTTCGAGCCAAGCCGATCTCAAACTTCTGAGCTCAAGCTCAAGACTCTAATTCGAATCGAGCATGAGCTAGACAACACCTCGACCACTGAGGGAGACCTCAGCTCAGCACCTTGGTCACTAAAGGAGATCTCGACTCAGCACCTCGACAATTAAGGGAGACCTCAACTCGACACCTTGTCAACTAAGGGAGACCTTAGCTTGACACCCTGCCTACTAGGGAAACCTTAGCTCGACACTTCAACAGCTAAGGGAGATCTCAATTTGGCACATTGACAATTGAAGGAGTCCCCCTCTATAATAAGCCTCTCCATGTTTAGTTCTTTTGCTAATTGTGCCCCTTGGATTGCAGCTAAGACCTAAGAGTTAAGCCC